CAGAGGAGGGTGCGCCATTGCTATCAAAAAAAAAGTTACTAATGGCGCACCAGAGAATGGTGCGCCATTGCTATGAGTGTTTTTATGGCGCACCCCTCGATGGTGCGCCATTACTAACATTCCCCCCTCTATAGCTGGATACCCGGCCCTTCGCCCGATATCTCCTTCCCTCTCCCTCGCCAGATCCCCTTCCATCCCTCGCCACACCTGCTCCGGCTCCTCCGCGCCGCCGCCCCCGCGCCCCCCGACCCGCGAAGCACGTGGCCGCCGGCCTCCCCACGACCAACCGAGGCGCCCAGGAGGACCGCCGTCGTCTTCCTCTTCGACTACGAGGACCCGGACGAGCTCGGACGCCCTCGAGCCACCCCTTCGACGCCGCCGCCGACCCCGACCCCGACCCCTCCGGCGACTGGCCACGCCCGCCCAGGTACCTCTCCTCCTTCCTCCCTCTCCACCCTTCCTCCCCATTCCCTCCCTCCCTAGTTCTTCTTGCTATATGGATCAGAACATATGGAGCATTACTATTGCTATATGGAGCATTACTATTGTTCTTCTCTGAACCATTACCATTCCCTCCCTCCCTAGTTCTTCCTCCCCATTAATTTGCAGGATCAGAACAAGTTTGTAACAGGATGCTCTACAATGTTGATTAGGTGCATTACTATTGCTATATGGAGCAGCAATTTACTATTGCTATATGCTCTAGTTTGTATCAATGTGATTGTACTTTTTCTTGTCATCAAGTTTAGTTGATGTTTATTTAAATATAGCTTATATGATCAGCCACTCTATGTATGATTGTGGCTTGAAGGTTCTGGAAGAACGTTTTTCCTTCAAATTCTATCTGGTGGCATTGTCCTAGACTCCCTAGTTGTGTTGTTAATTGTGCTTCTATTAAAAGAATTGGGAGTTACTCATTGTATTAGAACTCTGTAGGTTGAATTTTGGTTAACTAATACTGACGTTAAGAGAATGTAAGCACCTATTATTGCTACTGATATCATTGGCTCATTGCTGCCTTTGTGCAATGCAGAACTGTTAAGAGTGATTTGGAGGATTCAAGATTCTGTGAAGCTCTTTTGACATTTAAAACTCAGAACTGAAGGTACTTAATAAACTCAAAAGCATTGATGATAACTCTTGTTGCCTAGAAACAGAGGTAGTATACATATTGCATTGCTGGTGTTTGTTTATGTTCAGAGTTTAAGCATGTGTAGTGTAGTGTAGTGAGCTTGTTCTAGTGTAGTGAGGTCTGAACCATTGCACGATGTAGTGTAGTGTAGTGAGCTCTGAACCATGTTTAGTGTTGAGTACTTCAAGTTTACTGAACCTATTCATTTTTGTGGACTTAGTGAACATGATAAGACAAGCCAGATGCTCTATTTTTAATTAACAGTAATCCATGATCAGCAACAGTTTCTTTCACTAATTTTCAGTTAACAGCAATCCATGATTTTTTTTTCAGCTAAAACTATTCATGATTTTTTGTTGGGTGACCTATTAGATCTGGAATGGAAGCTCACATAAGTTGAGCTGATTTTTGTCCATATGAAAGCAGAGGACCATATGGTCTGTGGCCTTTTCATCCATATGAAAGTAGAGGCACATTGTGGTGCTAGTTTGCTGGGTTTTGTCTCCGACCATCGTGTCGTGATGATTTTGCAGGTACCTCGAGAGGCCCTTGAGTTTGCCGGAATGTCGATTAACTTCCGTTCCGGAAAATTCGGGTACTCCATATGTCTTATTTTCAGCAAAGGTCATGCTGAAATTTTCCGTGAATTTTAGCATGACTTTGCTAAAAATCATACATATGGGGTACTTGCTACTAATGCATGGGCCGGGGTATCTTAGTACTTAATTAAGTAGGATCAACTGCCCCGCCATTCTTGCTGCATTAAACCATAGGTGGCAATAGAGCCAAGTGATTAGGCCCAACTTAGAATTCTCGTTAGCATCGATAAACCCTAGATGATAAACCCAACATAGGTGGCAATAGAGCCAAGTGATTAGTGCCAAGTGATTAGGCCCAACATAGGGTGCCTCGGCATCGATAAACCCTAAATGATGAAAACTTAACTTGGCTTCTATAGGGTGCCTCGGTGTCGATGAGAACCTAAATGATGTACGCTTAGGCTTTTAGGGTGCCTCGGCGTCGACAAAACCTAAATGATGAAATCTTAGGCTTTTAGGGTGCCTCGACGTCGACAAACCCTAAATGATAAAACCTTGGCTTTTAGGGTGCCTTAGTGTTGATAAGAACCTAAATGATGAAAGCTTAGGCTTTTAGGGTGCCTCGGCGTCGACAAACCCTAAATGATAAAAGCTTAGCTTTTAGGATTCCTTGGTGTCGACAAACCCTAAATGATGTAGTTTTGAATTATGAACGTAGGATATGTCGTCATCATCATCGAATGACGGAAGTCTCCCGACGGAGTGCGACTGGTGCCACAACGATCGAGGTCTGTGCGACATGCCTCACCTGAACGATGATCGGCGCTTCAGCATTAAGCTCGAGGAGACCTTCGAAGTTGAAACGGTACACAACGACGACAAGTGTTATTTTCATAATTAAGCATGACTTCAACTATTTCAACGTGTAATTTTCATCTTATACAATTCGAGTACAGCTTATCCCATGCCATGCAAGACGCTATGTCTTGGAGAGGATGGATTTTGAAGACCATGAAATTTCTGAAACAAAGAAAATTCACCTAAGGACTCATCACGATGTGGACTTTGAAGTAAATCTATATAATTCTGAGAGCGTAACCCATTTTTATTGCAAAAATTGGGAAGCATTTTGCAAGATGTATGGTTTTGATGAGGGTATGCTTATCACCATGGATCTTGGTAATCCTGACATCAACCAAGACAATATGGACACTTGGGTCCTTGTTGATACGCCTCCAGTTCTACCACTATGTGAGTTTCTCAAACATAGTTATTAGCTAATTTATATTGTTTATGTCAAAATAGTTGACAGCTTATTTCCATTGACAGCTTATTTTTATTGTTCAAAGAATGTGCGGGAGATGGTAGACAAAACCCACTACACCGATGGCTCCGAATTAATAACTTACAAGGAGAAAAATCATTTGGTCGGATTTTGTACTGACATTGAGAATTACAATATCTACAATCAAACTCCTCAAAATTATGGTAAATATGTGCCACTAGTGCATGTGGTAACTACCATGGAGATACCCTGGTAAGATTTTTACTATTACGACATCCGTGCATCTTTTGCATACTTCTAAAACTAGTACATCATTGCTAACTATGAAGTTATTACTATGTTTTTCAACAGATAATCCCAGAGAATTGTGTGCCTCATATGATGTATCTGAAAGGTAGTGTTAATGTTTCGAACATACAGCTAGGTCGTCCTACGAATCTCAACTGTCCATACGAGATTTCTAAAAGAAGTGGAGACATGAAAATCAAAGGATGGAAAAAATGTATGGACAGTCGTAAGGAGCTTCTTGGAAGCAAAAGGAAGCGAAGCGCAAGAATTGGAGACAGGATGTTCTCCATTCTCCATAATGGAGAGTCAGGGTCTATATTGTTTTATGCTATTTTATCTTAAGTAGGGTATTTAGGTCCTGCCTAATACTGATGATCATGTGCTAAGAACAATTAAGTAGGGTTGGTTCGAAGACTATCAAGATGATGATCGTATGACTTGTTATGAATAACAAGTAGAAGTTGTATGATGATGATTAGTAGGACTTGTTAGGATTAGTATTACTTCCGACAAACTCGATACTCCCGGTCTCGAGACTTGTAATGTTTTATCTTTGTTCGGTCTTTTGAATTCGGAGACTAATATGATGAATTGTATTCGGAGACTAATCTTCTATTATATTCGATGAATCTGTTGTTGTTGTGTGCTACTGTCTATATTCTGTCAAATAATATATTTTGTAACATGTGCAAAAATCAGAAAAGTAAAAAAATAAAACCTAATATTCATACTAATGGCGCATCACTATAGAGTGCGCCATTAGTATGCCAAGTATACTAATGGCGCATCCATCCACAGTGCGCCATTAGTGTGCCAAAGCACATGGTTAAATATGGCCCCTGGGAGGCACACTAATGGTGCATGGTGTTATATACTAATGGCACACTGGATGGTGCGCCATTAGTATACCAGATACTAATGGCGCACCAGTGGTGCGCCATTAGTAAAAATTACTAGTGGCGTGCTACTAATGGCGCACCGGTGATGCGCCATTAGTAGGCAAAACCGATGCGCCATTAGTAGGCCTTTTCCTAGTAGTGGGAGCGCCGTTGTCGCTCGATCCGGCAAGGATTTGGGCTTTCGCCCGGCATATGAGCTGGGTGGAAGGAAGAGGGGAAGGAGGCAACCTGGACGGCGCCTACAAGAAGGGTACGTCGCCCTCGGGCGTCGCCGCCGTCGTGGCCAGCACTGCTGGCCTCGGATTTCTTCGGAGCCACCTCCCACCTCCAGCCGCCAAACAGGTACAATTACGGCGACAAAGGCCGCCCAAAGCAGGACCATCGAAGGCAACCCTGGTTGAAGTAGACGGAGGTCTTCAGATTTGGATCGTGCACCGCCGAGACGCCCACACCACAGCCGCCACCTGCCGCCGCCTCACCGCCCCCGCGGCCGAGGAAGAACGGCCAGCACCAACGAGCACCGGTCATCATAGACCCGGTGTCGATCAACCAGCTGAGGTCGCCGCCACGGGTCCAAAGCCCCCCCCCCCACGAGGAAGAACGGGGCGGCCAGATCCTCGCCGCCACCTTCACCGGTGGCCGAGCGGCGAGCCGGTGGCCACCTCCGGTGGCGTCGAGGGAGAGGAGAGGTCGGGGAGAGGGCCGACGGCGGGCTAGGGTTACGCCGCCCGAGTCGCTCCGGGGCCTTATGGAGTTCTCGAGGTTTGTTACAACTGGAGTTAAAATTACGACTGAAGGTGTTTGCTGCTGCAAAGCATGTGAGCGCTATGAGACTCATCATTCCTTCACCATATCTTTCAGCGCATTATTATCTCCACAGACCAGGAGGATTCATGGGTGAGTTCCTCCTTAACCCGACGTCTGCTTGCTTCATCCTGTGAAAAGTAGGGTTAAGCTTATGCATGTTGCAGGGACACGTACGTGTTAATATAGGGCCGAAGCCAGGATAGATGAAAGGTTAGTTGGGCTTGGATTGATCTACAAGTTAGCTAACAACCTGATAAGATCATATCTCAGAGTCCCAACAGAATACACAACACGCACGCATAATTACAGCACATATACGGTTTATATACTCCACCGTATATGCTTACAATGTTTAACACTCCCCCTCAATCACAACTATCCAAGTTGAGATTGCGTCTAAAGGCCTCAAGCTGCTTAAGAGTAAGAGGCTTAGTGAATCCATCTGCAACTTGATCTCCAGTAGGTATGAACCTAATATTCAACAACTTATCTGCCACCCTTTCGCGAACAAAATGATAATCTATTTCAATGTGTTTAGTCCTAGCATGAAAAATAGGATTAGCAGACAAATATGCGGCACCAAGATTATCACACCAAAGTGATGTAGCTTTTGGATGATAAACACCCAATTCTGTCAGCAGATTCTGAACCCAAATAATCTCTGCAGTGGCATTGGCTAGAGCCTTATACTCAGCCTCTGTGCTTGACCTGGAAATAGTGGGTTGCTTGCGAGCACACCAAGATACCAAATTAACTCCAAGAAATACCGCAAAGCCTCATGTTGATCTTCTGTCATCAGGACAGCCTGCCCAATCTGCATCTGAGAAAGCACTTACTAGCATTGAATCTGACTTACCAAGTTGAAGACCATGATCCTTGGTTCCTTGAAGATATCGAAGTATCCTCTTAACTGTTGTCCAATGCACACTAGTAGGAGCATGTAAGAACTGACAGACTTTGTTTACTAAATAAGAAATATCTGGCCTAGTCAAAGTCAAGTATTGAAGTGCTCCTACAATGCTCCTATACCTGGTTACATCCTATGCTCCAAGTGCTTCTCCATCATACAGGGACAGTTTTTCAGAAGTAGACAGAGACGTGGATGAAGGCTTGCAACCCTTCATGCCTACTTTTTGAAGTATTTCTTGTAAATACTTTCCTTGTGACAGCACAATCCCTTCTTTAACAGGTTTTACCTCGATTCCAAGGAAGAAGTGAAGACTTCCAATGTCCTTAAGTGCAAACTCCTTGCCCAAGTCCTTAAGTAGGGCTTCAACAGCACTAGGTGAAGAACTTGTAACCACAATATCATCAACATAAATGAGCATAAAAATGGTAATCCTATGCCGATGATAAAAGAATAGTGAGGTCTCCCCCTTTGAAGGAGAGAACCCTAGAGACTGTAACTTTGACGACAGTCGAGAATACCAAGCTCTAGGTGCATGTTTTAATCCATACAGTGCCTTATCAAGTTTGCAAACGTGACGTGGAAACTTTAAGCTTTCATACCCAGGAGGTTGTTTCATGAACACTTCCTCTTCCAGAACACCGTGCAAGAACGCGTTCTTTACATCTAGTTGTCGAATGCACCAATTTCTATACACTAAAATTGAGAGAATTAATCTGATAGTGGCTGCTTTGACTACAGGACTGAACGTGTCCTCGTAGTCAATTCCATACCTTTGCTTGAACCCTTTTGCAACTAAGCATGCCTTATACCTATCAACACTACCGTCAGATTTCTGCTTGACTTTGTAGACCCACTTGCAGTCAATAACATTCCTCCCCTTGACTGGAGGCACCAAACGCCATGTTTTGTTCCTCATAAGAGCACCATATTCCTCATCCATGGCCTCCTTCCACCGACGTTCTCCAAGGGCTTCTCCCAAATTTTGTGGTTCACCTATGGCACAAAAAGAACCCCAACGGACACAACCATCATTATAAATCTTAGGCCTGATAATACCACTCTGTGACCTGGTATGAGACCGCGGAGGAGGAGGCGGAGCTGGACGCATGTTGTTGGAGGCGATTTGAAGAAGCAGACACAGCAGATCCAGAATCCACAGAAAATCCACCCGAGAACTCCTGGTGGAGCTCCTGTGTTGGCTCGGCGCAATTAGCCTCGACGCGCGCGCCAACCGCTTCGAAACTGTCACTTGTCGCTGCCAGCGACGCGTCAGGCAACGACGAGGTGCAATCGCCCAATCCAGCGGGCGCGCTCGTTCCCGAGGAAGACCGACCGGATGGGGACCCGCCTGGTCCCGTCACAGGCGCGGCCCGTGGCCGACCAACGCCATGCAGGGGGGACCCACCTGGTCCCGCAATAGGCCCACGCCGCGGTATCACGGGCGTGTCTCGCGACTGGCCGACGCCATGTAGGGGGGACCCACCTGGTCCCGTGACAGACCGTGGCGCAGATCCCATAGGAGATCCTCCTGACGCGCCTGCTTCAGCAGATCCTGAGAGGATCCCGCCCTGATCTGCTCTGGGATCAGCAGGCGGATCTTCTGCGGCTGAAAAAGAGGACTCCGTGGCCTGCATAAAATCATGGGGATTTTCTTCCATGTTTGCATTGTTTTCCTGCACACTTTCATCAGAGTTTTGATCAAAGGAGTTATGGGGCATTGACACATGATCATCAGCATCTTCTACGCCCCCGAGAACAAAGTTGGGTGATGGCAGAAGATGAGAGGGAAGAAGAACAAGTTCTTTACGAAGTTGAGCGCCGGCGTTAGGGTGGAGTTTTGCAAAGGGAAAAATTTGCTCATCGAAAACCACATCACGGGAGACATAGATGCGACCCGTGGCAACATCCAAGCACTTGTAGCCTTTGTGAAGACTACTGTACCTAAGAAACACACACTGTTTCGAGCAGAACTCAAGCTTATGTTTATTGAATGGACGAAGGTTGGGCCAGACGGCACAACCAAATATGCGGAGAAAAGTGTAGTTTGGTTTAGTGCCAAAAAGACGCTAAAGAGGAGTCTGATTATTGATGACTTTACTAGGAACACAATTTATGAGGTACACCGCCGTGAGAAACGCCTCGTCCCAAAATTTGAGAGGCATATAAGCTTGAGAAAGAAGGAAGAGACCAACCTCCACGATATGGCGGTGTTTACGTTCAGCGGATCCGTTTTGATGATGAGCATGTGGACAAGAGACATGGTGAGTGATACCTATGCGCTCAAAAAACGAATGAAGTTTTTGGTATTCACCTCCCCAGTCCATTTGCATGGCAAGAATTTTGCGATCAAAAAGACATTCAACATGTTGCTGAAAGAGATTAAACTTTGCAAACACATCAGATTTATTCTTAAGCAAATAGATCCAACTGAACTTACTAAAATCATCAATGAAAGTGACATAATATTTTTGTCTGCCAACAGAAAAAGGTCCAGGACCCCAAACATCTGAAAAAACTAGCTCTAAAGGAGCCTTTGATTCACTAGTAGAGCGAGAATATGGAAGTTGATGGCTCTTGGCCATCTGACACGAATCACACACATGAATGTGATCTTGCTTATTTGATACTGGAAGACTAAAATCTCGAAGAATTTTCTGGACCACCGGAAAAGCAGGATGCCCTAGGCGTTTGTGCCATCTTGAGGTGGATGGCTTGACCACACTGAGAGCTTGTTGAGGAGGGGCATCATGGCGGCCAGAGATAGGAAACAGGCGACCCCTAGTCCTGTTTTGAAGCACGGTTCTCCGAGTGGCCCGATCCTTAACAAAAAAGATTTCGGGGTAAACTTCCAAGAAAGCATTGTTATCTTTGATAAGTTTATAGGCAGAAAGAAGGCTTTGATCGGCTTGAGGAGCATGGATGATATTATTTAGATGCAAGGAGCCGTGAGGGGTAGTAAGAACTGAATGACCAATGTGGGCAATGTCCATACCTTGACCACTCGCAGTGTGGATTTGCTCCGTGTCGGTGTAGCGATCGTGGACCGCAAGATTTTCCAGTTCTCCCGTCACGTGATCAGTTGCACCAGTGTCAAGATACCAATTGGTATCAACTCCATAGGCGTGGGCGGCGTTAGCCGAGCAGTGTCCTCCACCACCACCACCACGTCCTCCGCCACCACCGCCTCCTGTGGGGGTTGCGGACGTTGTTATTGAAGTTGCGATCGTAGCGCTTCTTGCAGCGCCATGCACCATGCCCTTCAAGCTTGCAAATCTGGCACTTCTCGCGCTCGCGGTCACCGCGGTCACCACCTCCTTGCCGCGGACCACCTCCAAAGCCGCCACCACCGTGGTTGTCAGGGTAGTGGGCACCCGCGTTGTTGTTGATGTAGCCGCGGGAGCCACCTCCACTGTTGCCGCTGCCCCTTGAGTTGACGCGGCCTCCACCCCTTGCCGCCAGATTTGCGGAGTGGAGAGCAGTGTTTTGGGCAGCAGAGCTTCAGCCGACAGCAGCAGGGAGAAGAGCTCGCTGAGGCCGATCGGCTGCTCGGTGGCGGTGCGGGTGGAGATGGCTGAAACGAAGCCGCTGTAGTCGGGGTCGTGGAGGAGGCCTTGCAGGATGTGATCGACGATGTCATCTTCATCCAGGGGCTTGCCTGCAGCTGCCAGCTCGTCGGCAATGCTCACCATCTTGGTGTAGTAGGCCGCGTCAGACATGTCCCCTTTGCGGGTGCGCTCGATGGCCGAGCAGAGCTAGATAACCCTAGCCCTTGACTGCGATGAGAAGCTTTACAGCAGGGCGTTCCAGATCGATGCGGCGGTGGTGTGGGAGCTGACCTGCAGTAAGACCTCACGGGAGAGAGATGAGATCAAAAACGTGAGGATTTGCTGGTCTTGAGTAACCCACACAGCATGCTCAGGATTTGGCGAGGACGTGGTCTCCTTCTTGCCGGCGACGTCCTTCTCGGTGTAGAGCACGGTGGCTGGCTCCTTGATCGAGCCATCCAGATAGCCCATCAGCCCCGCCCCCTTGATGTGTGGCAAGACCTGCGCCTTCCACACCAGGAAGTTCTCCCGGGTCAATTTCTCGGTGATGGTATGACCAAGGGAGGCGATGGAGGGGGTGGCCATGGCGACAGCTAAGGAGGAGCTCGACATCTAGATGCGATGGAAAAGGATGGCTCTGATACCATGGGAAAACTAGGGTTAAGCGTATGCATGTTGTAGGGACGCATACGTGTTAATATAGGGCCGAAGCCAGGATAGATACAAGGTTAGTTGGGCTCGGATTGATCTACAAGTAAGCTAACAACCTGATGAGATCATATCTCAGAGTCCCAACGGAATACACAACACGCACGCACAATTACAACACATATACGGTTTATATACTCCACCGTATATGCTTACAATGTTTAACACATCCACCCGGGACTTTGTTTCACAGTCGGTGCAGTCCTCGCATGGGGGTTCTCCAAGCAGCACGATTTTCTTCAACCCCACAGCTCGTTCCATGACTAGCCTTATATAATTTGTCACCTTGCCTTCCTCCCCGAACCCTTGAATCTCCAGCCACTTCAAGTTGAAGTGCTTGAAATCCTTGGATGGTTCCCACACCACGTTGGTCTTCTCCGCACTGTCCTCGGACAATTTGGCGCCTGGTCGAGCTCGAGATAACTTCATGCAAGGGCATAGAAAATAAATAAGGCATGTTAATTAAACTTGACACCAACCCATACAGGACGATGTAATAACAATTGATATTAAATATATCAACCATTTAAAAAATAGCAACATACTCAATATTAGTATCTAAATTTGGACGAACTTGCACGAACTAAATCATATGCTGAGTAAGATATAAGAATATGCTTCAGTTACACCCCCCCGAAAACAAGAATAAGCTTCAGTTACTCTAACACAAGGTACGATCCAACATGATTATTTTCAGTCTTGCATGGACATTGTCCCTCTGCAGAATTTAAATGGAGCATCAGAGTTCAGAACTTCCGTTGGCATTGCACTATAGTTCATATACACCAATATCCATGTGTTCCATATTATCCCAATTACTATGCGACCTGTATCTATATGCACTACTTGTAAGATTTAGATTAGAGTTGCTGAGTGTTTGAAAATCAGATAAGCTTGCTGGTGTATTGTTAAAGCTGGTTGTTCGAAAACCTATCATACTAGACAGATCATATCCGGTTAAATTACAAAAGAAGGTAGAGTAACAGACTTACATGAAACTTCTGCAGGACAGGTGCAGCTTCAAGGATAAACAGGGTCCAGCTCAGATCACACTCAGGAAAGATACAGAAAAGCCCCACATCCGTTAGGTTGCTGAATATAACAGCGAGCTGTTTCGGTTGTTCTGGCTGAATCCAAATCTGCAAGAAGAAAAGGAACACAGATAGACAACTGAAATTGGTAGAGAAGAACATATGAGATGTGTGCAGAAATTAGTTGTACCATTTGGTGGCAAAAATGTTGGAACCGCCAACTCCTCGCCTCACTCCTCCTAGCTTTCTCTGTCGCCGTAGCTCTCACCGAGGAAGAAGAAGATCAGAGGAAGAAGAAAGACACGGGGACACGGTGGATTTTCCCGGCGCACGAACGCCAACACCCACGAGCTTGTACTCGTCACCTCCCGCACCGTTACAACGATCACCGTCGCGGCTTTATACCCGGAGCCAGCGACCGGGCACGCACCCACGCTCCCTCCCCCCTCGCGCCTATGATCTGCCCGCCATGCTTGCGCCCACGACGCACTCTCCGCGCACGGGCCACGGCATGACTCCAACAGAACACACGCAATCACCCCGCGCGGCTGGCCAACGGCCTGCGGTCACACCCGCGCACACTGCGCACACTCACACGGACACGCCCGTGCTACAGACACACGCACACATGCGCTACTCGCCGTGGACCCGGCGCGCCCGACCAGGCCAGCCCGCGCCCAGACACGCGCTGGTCGTGTCCGGTGCATCGCCGCGGCTTATTTGCCCTAACATTCGCGCCCTAAGCCGCGGCTCAGAGCAGCCCGGCGTCCTCGACATCGCCGTCGTCCACCAGCAAGGCCCGCTCCGCCACCGGCGCCTTCTTCCACTGCGGGCACTCGCGCTTGAAGTGCCCGCGTTCACCGCACTTGTAGCAGCGCCCGCGCCGGTTCCCGCCAAAGCCCGACGCCTCGCTGCGCGCCCCATCGTCATCGTCCCGAGCTCCGCTCGCTGCCGCTCGCGCGCCCGCCACTGTGCCGCGGTGAACATGAGCGCGCCATCCGCTCGCTCGCCGTCTGCCTGCCCCCGACGCCGCAGACGCTCGTCGAAAGCTTTCAGCCGCCCTAGTGCATCCTCGAACGCCATGGCGTCGACGTCACAGAACTGCTCGATCCCGGCCACCGCCGGGTACAGGCGGTTCGGCACCGAGTCGAGCAGCTTCTTAATGAGGGTGGCGTCCTCCAGGGTTGAGCCCAACGCGGCGTAGCGCGCTGCCATCCCACCGAGCCTGCCGGCGAAGTCGTCCAGAGTCTCGGCGTCCGCCATGCGCAGCAGCTCAAATTCCCCGCGCAAAGTGCCCAGCCGCGCCGCCCGCACGCGGTCCGCGCCGACGAACCGTGCCTTCAGAGCAGCCCACACCTCCGCGGCGGTCTTCTTCGCCGCCACCTGCAGCAACAGGTTCTCCGCGAGCGCGCCGAGCAGGTATGCATTCGCCGGCTTGTCCTTCTTGGCGATCACGACCGGTGCCGCATCCTCCGGCACGACCACCGCCTCCCACAGCCCTGCCGCGTCAAGATTTGCCTCCATCTTGATCACCCACGCCGTGTAATTCTCGCCAGTGAGCTGCGGCACCGCCTGCGACAGCGATCCGCCGGTTCCGCCGGCGTACGGGACGATGGACATCCCCGGCGCGCCCTGACCAGAACGTGGCTCTGATACCAAATGTTGGAACCGCCAACTCCTCGCCACATTCCTCCTAGCTCTCTCTGTCGCCGTAGCTCTCACCGAGGAAGAAGATCAGAGGAAGAAGAAAGACACAGGGACACGGTGGATTTTCCCGGCGCACGAACGCCAACACCCACGAGCTCGTACTCGTCACCTCCCGCACCGTTACAACGATCACCGTTGCGGCTTTATACCTGGAGCCAGCGACCGGGCACGCACCCACGCTCCCTCCCCCCTCGCGCCCGCGATATGCCCGCCATGCTCGCGCCCACGACGCGCTCTCCGCGCACGGGCCACGGCATGACTCCAACAGAACACAAGCGATCACCCCGCGCGGCTCGCCAACGGCCTGCGGTCACACCCGCGCACACTGTGCACACTCACACGGACACGCCCGTGCTACACACACATGCACACACGCGCTACTCGCCGCGGACCCGGCGCGCCCGACCCGGCCAGCCCGCGCCCATACACGCGGTTGTCGTGTCCAGTGCATCGCCGCGGCTTGGTTGTACCATTTGGTGGCAAAAATTGAGATGCAATTTCGACAGGTTCGTTGCACTCCTTGACAAGCACTCGCTTAGCAGGAATGGCGCCTTCCACACCTTGGGCTGACGAGTGAGGCTGACGTTGCAAAGCTCGGGAACATAGCCGAAGCGAACCGAAGGGTTCTTCAAGGACCAGTGGCTGTCCACTTTACTGAGCTTGGGGACAGAGATGAGCTCGATCCTCCTGCATACAAAGTGGATGAACTCGAGCTCCTGGAGCCCAGAAAACGGTGTGTCAATCTTGAGCACGGAGTGGCGATGAACTAGTCTGCAGGATCTCCGAGTGAGGCACTTGAGCTTATCGCAAGCTCTAATGAGGTCGTTGACGTCAGAGTCCCCGAAGGCAAGACCCTTGAGGGATAGCCTTGTGAGCCACCGGAACGCGACCTGGTAGGCACGGGAGAATGACATCAATTCCTGCCCGAACTCGGTGAGCTGCGAGGGCGTGTATTCCCCGGGCAGCAGGGATATCAGAAGTTCGAGGGATTCGGTCCTGCCGCAGCTGAGGGAGCCCTGCTCTAGTGCTTCCCTAACCTAATTTCGGAGGGGTATTTTTGTCCCCACGAATTTGTTTTTTTCCTGGCCCGCCGCAGCCCAGATCCAAGCCCTGTCTAGCCCTGTATAACCCAGAACGTATACGTACAGTACCCTGGTCCGAAAAAAAAACATCACATGACCCCACGTCCACGTAAGACCTGCCAAATCCAATCATTCACGCGAGCAGCTCCATCAATCTTGCGAGCATTGACGCAGCTCCATAAGTCACGTAATATATCTCCAGCGGCGGCTATCTCGTCGCCGGCGATCTCGTCGGACAGCTGGCGCGACAACGTCGTGAATCTCCAACGAGCGCGCATAGGTACCGCATCCCGCGTCCCCCCTCTAGTCTCGCTCGCGGCAACATCGAACAAACTGCCGCCGCCAGTGGTAGTGGTTAACCTAGCGAGGCGGGTAACCTAGCTACCCGGCGGCGCATGCGATCGTGGATCTTGTTCCGGTAGTGCTGCTCCTCGTGATCTAGGTTCACGTAGCATCGGTTGCCGTCAGCTGTGCGCACCACCGGTATCGTTATTTGATGTGGCGGCTAACCTAGGTATCTGGCGGCAGAGGTAATCACAGATCAAGCTAGGTTTTGAGATCGTGCAGTTCCTCGCGATTGAAAGTGATCACGACGGGTGCCGTGGCCATCTTCCTTACTAAGTTGGGCAGATCTGAACGGCCTCGGTTGCGGTTGTTTACATAACATCCGTTATCGTGTGCTATGTGTTTTATATTTCATCATTGATAATGTTTGCACATGTGATGATACATAATATTGGTTGTAGGAAATGGCGGACGAGGAGTTAACTGATATCATGGTAGACATGGAGTTTGGAGAACTGATGAAAGACTGGATAGAAGATTGGTCAGATGATGAAAATTCAGATCGTGAAGATCGGTCAGAGAATGGGAACGAATGGGACGATCTTAATTTGAGTGGCATTGTCATGTTGTAATTTTTTGGTGGCATCCGACAACATTAATTCTTTGTGTTGAAAATGTATAGATTGATGAGCTTGACGATGATCAGAAAAACAACTCGGAGCTCTCGAATGAAGATTACATTAGTCAGGTACGTAAGTGAAAAATTTTGTTGGCATGCAAATTGAATTTCTTCTGGAATATTACATGATAAGTAATTATGTATTTGTGTTGTATTTTTCAGTTCATTTCCGAATGTCATAATGCGTACGACTATTACGGTGAATCCGACGCGGAGACAGGCCTTAACGACGAATTATTAGATGCACCTAGTTCTGGGGAGTCCGAGTCGTCGGTCTTCATGAGTGAGGTATGTGTGTAATCAATGTTCTATGGAAGTAAGTAATGTTAAACCTTAGAAATATGTTTTCATGGTTGTGGTTTGATTGTGTAGGTGACACAAGATGATGGGGCAAAGAATGTCCAAGATACTGCCAGTGCATATGATAAGAGGGATATGTTCATGCAGATAATGGAAATGACCTTTACGTCTCACGATGCTGCGTATGATTTCTACAACAGCTATGCTAGAGATAATGGTTTCAACATTAGAAAGAATAAGGTCAGGTATAGCAAAACAGAGTCACGTCATATGCGCTATAGGGGGTTTGTTTGTTCAAAACAAGGGAAGCGTGACAACAAGTTGCTAACCGAGGAAGGACACAGCCGTAGGCTCAGAGCCAAGACATGCTGCTTTTGCAAAGCGCACCTGACCGTCAAGCTTGACCAAAAGCGTGGGGTTTGGTATGTTGAAAGTTTTGAGGACAAGCATAGCCATATGTTGGCAGGACCGGACAAGGTACCTTTTTTTTGGTCCCACAGAAAAATCAAAGAGTACCAGAAGCATGAGATAATGTCCATGGGAGCTGCAGGGATTAGAATTCACGACATGATGGATTGCTTCATCAGCAAACATGTATGGTACGGCGGTGTTGGTTTTACCAGGCGTGAAATATACAACTTTTGCGCCAAGGAGAAGAGGAAGCTGCTTTCAAAAGGTGATGTTGCCACAGCCATAGGGATCATGGCCAGTAGGAAAAAGAGGGATCCTAGCTTCTTTTTCGAGTACAGGCTAGATAAGGAAGGACATTTGAATAGGATGTTCTGGTGCGACTCCCAGTCTCATCATGACTATGAGGACTTCGGCGACGTGCTTGTATTTGATAGCACGTACAAGATGAACCGCTATGGTATGCCATTCATACCTTTTGTTGGTCTTAACAATCACCGGAAGACCACTGTTTTTGGTTGTGCCATAGTTTCGGACCAGCCTGAGGAGACATACGTGTGGCTTCTGCAGACTTTTTTGAGGTCCATGTGTCAAAAGATGCCTAAGAGTGTTATCACAGACGCAGACGCTACGATGATCAAGGCAATTCGTGAAGTCTTGCCAGACGTGTGGCACCGTATATGTACGTCGCACATAGAGAAAAATATGAAGATTCACCTCAGTCACAAGTCCTTGAAGGAGTTCCGAACTCTTCTGTACTATAGCACGTCCACGGCAACGTTTGAGGAGAGATGGCACGCATTTTCCAAAAGATGGCAGTCGGAAAAAACTGTAACATGGTTGACGCGGATGTATAAGAAGAGGAGACCGTGGGCCGCGGCATATCTAACTGAGGGGTTTTGGCTTGGCACGAAAAGCAACCAGCGGAGTGAAAGCCTGAACTCATGCCTTCACCTCCACCTAGACGGTGAAATGACCCTGATGGATATGATTTTGCACTATGAGAACGCCGTTGTGCGTATCCGTGAAAATGAGGTGTGAGATGACTGCACGGCCTCACAGAGTTTACCGATGCCAGTTACTAGCTCGAGGGAACTTGAGATAGTTGCTTCTCACGTCTGCGCTCCAGCAAACTTCTATATGTTGCAAGATGATCTTAGAAAAATTGACGGCATGGAGATTGTAGAAATTAAGCTGGGAGATGGATCACAACAGTACATCGTGGCCTGGAAGAATAACCGGAAGTGCAGTTTTTGGGTGGAGTATACACCAGTAAATTCCGCAGAAACTATAAGGTGCAGCTGCAGAAGAATGATTCGAAAGGGTCTACCTTGCAAGCACATATTCCATGTACTGAAGCACTTGAACATATCTGAAATACCAAAGTGTTTAGTTCTTATTCGGTTCACGAAAGAAGCAAGGTTGGGACTGCCCGCGAGGCGCACAAGCGATCTGTTGGGATTTGGTTAGACTGGGGCCGGGGAAAGAATGAAATATAGCCAGGTCAGTGTGTTAGCGTCTTAAGCTATGCATGCGGCATGCAAACACCCTGCTTTGTGGGATCAGTTACAGGAGAGTTTGAAGGCTGTGATGGCTAAGAGTCATGAGTATGATCTACTACAGGAAAATTTGTTGAAGCAAACAAATGACATCAGTAAGTGTGCAGTTGAATATGTGGACGATGGTGAAGGCAACATGACTGAGGTTAAAGATCCTATGAAAGTGTCAAGCAAAGGTGCAACAAAGGCAGATGAGAGCCGCCCTATCTCGAAAAATGGTAGACCACTCTCTTTTGATGAGTTGAAAACCCGATACGACGCTTGCAAATTGGTAGGACACACTAGACGTAGCAAGAAATGCAAACTAAATGAGAAGTAAGTGTTTTTATGCATTGTGGATTATTAAAGTTTGTATCATTCATTAACTTAGCTTGTCTTCTATCAGGTGCAGAAAAGTGGAGAAGGAACAAGAGTAGAACACTTGCTTCAATTATTTACTATGTTAGTCGGCCGGCTCATACTTCGGCTAAGGTAGCTGTAGGCGCTTGTGTTTCTTTGGTTTGGAGGCTTTGGCCCCGTGATTGTATCCTTAGTGTATTAGCAGACGAGATCCCAGTCTTTGTTTAAATAAAGTAAGATGTTTCCCTGTAAACAAAAATCAAAAAAATTCTTTACTGTGTAATGACTGGGGCTGTGTAATGATCGGGGCGGGAGGTAGAAAGAATATTATTGTACATTTCCCCTGCCAACGTCCTAAATGCCATTAAATAAGTAACTGTACCACTCTCCTCCCCACCACACACTCACCCACCTCCCACGGGCGCCGGTTCGAACTCCCCTCTTATCCCCACCTACAGTAGATTGAGAATACCCTCGCCGGCTCCATGGAGAGAAGCCGCCTCCATGGAGAGAAGCCTCGGCTGGCAGAGAGCGATGATGGACCTCGTCGGCGATGACGAGTGGTGGCGCGCACAGTTGACGGAGGTGTGCGGCTGGTTCCCCAGCACGAAGATGTTGGTCAACCACGCGTGTGGCCTCGTCAAAGTCCTCACCGACACCGAGAGGAAGCGCGCCTTCCCCTATGGCCGCGGCATCCCGCCGTCTGTCCTACTCGTGTGGGCAATGCGAGAGGCCACGCTGAGCGACTCCCCTGTTCAGCGCACAAGGTGATGGATGTACTGCTCCGCCACCATGACGCTGTGGCCAGATTCAGCACGCGTCGCGTCGAGGGCGGACCGCGTCGATGTCGAGCTCGCTGTCCCTGCGCCCGTCAGCCCGGACTACCAGGTCCGCCATGTGTCGAAGCCAGTGCTGCCGTTGGACCATGAGGAGGGCGAGGAGGACGCTGTGCAGATGGTAGCGTCGGTCGCCGTTGAGGGTGGCAAGACAATTCCCATCGACGTCGAGCTCCTTCCCCTCCTCCCTGACATAGTGAAGGTGGAAGAAGAGGAGGTGGCTCAGGATGAGGTGGCGCAACTGTCCAACAGAATGGTGGTCAAGAAGAAGGCTTCTCCGTGTGTGGTGCGCTGCTCACGCCGCCTCAAATTTCTGAAGAAGTGAAGATGGGCACAGTTGCTGAAGGAGGAGGAAGCTGCTGATTATCTTAAGTTAGGTATGTTGTTATATGTTTCAGCATATAAGTTAACATTATTTTGGGTTTGATGTTGGTTAGGTATGCTTTTATATGTAAGCATATAAGTTATGCAATCGGCACAGTTTGATCGGGTTCTTTGTGGCTGAAGAACTGAATAT